TTATAGGATGGTGTCCTGATATGAACCCTGAAATGCCCTGTTACTGGCGATAGCGGAAGAGAAAAGGACCTAGTTTATTTATTGATCCTCAAACTGTACCAGATTAACTCTGCTCTGGGCAGATTACAAAGTGAATGGGAACTTCATTTGAGAGCTTGCCAAAAGTCATGCCGAATAAGAAGCAAAGGCAAGACTACAAAAAGAAAAAGGATTCCATTGTGGCCATGTTTGCGCACAGATATATTTTTAAATGTTGGATTGTTAGAGGAGAGAAGTTCACTGTGCTAATCATTCAGCCAAAGTGCCATGGATGTTTTGGAGCTGCAAAAACAAGAGACAAAGTATACAAAGGGTCCTCTGTGAGGTATAGAATGCCTTCATATATAGGCATTTAGGAATGAAACAAAATCTGTCACTATATGCACTAGAAAACATCAGGGATGCCACAATTTTAGAAGATGCTGCTGATGCACCCAAATTGAGAAATTTCCCCTATTGTTTTCAGTGGTGCCTGTCCCCATCTGTGCACTGTGTCATTAGTAGCTTGACCCCTGTTGAAAAAGTATATGATCCATCATGTGTTTTTAGCATCATAGACTTCAACAATCCGTTTGTTTTTTTCCCCAGCAATTTTGCTTGAAAAAGCTTAAACAAAAACACTCAAGCCTGAAAATACGCTCAGTGCGAATGGGGGCTGAAGCATGCCAAACAGAATACACAAAGTGTGGATCAATGAGGACAGAGCAGCCATTGCAACCCATCAGGTTGCAGGTCACTTCACACTACTGAACTGAATAGGTTCCATAGGCAAGGGCAAGGACAGTATATGACTGCAAACCTAGGTGCTGTCCACATACACACAAGCTCAGTGGAAGTCACAAACACGGACATTTCATCACTGATTAACCTTGGGGTCATTCACTGTCTGTTTACTTCAGTTGGGAAGAGCCATGATAATTATTGATCCCAATCCCATGAAAGTCCGAAAATCTAAAAAGCATGACTGATCTTCTTGCCTGCATTTGGTTAACTGTGCATTAGGGTCGCGGTTTTCAACTCTGTGTTCAGTGGGTCGCCGCGTGCCTTCTACTGCGCTAGGCAAGAGGCTCCTCAGCCTCACCCTAGCGCAGCACTGTCAGTTCTTGCACCAAGCAGACATTCAAAATATGTTGCCCGGTGCCCAGTGTCAGCTGGCGGTGGGGTGGGCAGGGCCGGATTTACTCCCCCCAAGGCCAGGTTCCACAATACCCCCCCGCCCCGCCAACCCCCCCTCCCCATCAATTGAGAATGGCAAAGCTGGGGGGAGGACCGTAGTGTGCGGCCACCGGACACCTTACACCGGTGCCCGCAACTTCCCCACAAGGTCAACGCTGCCGCCCCTCTGCGCTCTGCCGCCCCGAGGCCGGGCCTCGGTGGCCTTGTGGGAAATCCGGGCCTGGGGCTATAGCTATGAGGGAGCTCCATCCATACATGTAATGGTTACAGCTCCATCACAACACAACAGCCCACACTGAACCCCAGGCTGAGGATCCACTCCAGTTCTTGTAAGGTAGGGAGCCTGGGTGGATCGTGTGTGTGTGAGGGAGAATGCGTCTGTGGTTGTGTGTGTGCGTCAGTGTTTAGGAGGGCCCGTTCACACTAGTACTGTGCGTTAATCACACAGTTCCATGCAATTAATGCACTGTACCTCGCAATCACACCTACTGTGCGTTCTAGTGCAGGAGGTGCGTTGTAATTCAAGTGAATGGCATCCCAAACACACACTGGAACACACAGTACCACAATGCTGTGCATTCCATTGTAGTGCGACTTGGGACTTGCTCTTGCTCTCCTGGAGCCTCTCTCTCCATTTGCTGCAGTGGTTCAAGGTCCTCAAGTCATCACGTTCTATACACAGTGCATAGGACGAAAGGACGCTGAGGGACATTTAACCACTGCAGCGGAGGAGGAGACAGGCAAGAGGGAGCGCTGTCATAGCCAGGTGGCTTGGAGAATCGAGTCAGTATAACTTTATTTTTTTACCCTAGGAAGAAATGAGCAATTACCATTGCGAGAGTGCAAGGGTAGCCCCACTGCAATGGTTAATAAAAGTTCTTATTTAAGTTACATGTAGAGCCTACTGGGCTGATATTGGTTATATCTGCAAGGGAATGCACCAGCACTTGCCATATTTCACCCTCTTTTTCTTAGGCTAATAACTCGGAAATCTCTCATAAGGGATTTGTGGATGATTTCTTCCCATTCACAATTATGCTGTGAGGTCAATCTCCGAACAATCATACCAAAAATCTCCACCAGCAGCACAAAAGGTGCAATTGTGCACTAGGAAATTATTTCAGTGAAGATTTAAAATTCCCCATGCAACCCTAGTCTATCCCTGGCATAATTTATATCCCCCAACCCTGGTACATTCCCCACAGCACAGAACCAGGGAGTGTCGCACCCCCTCGCCGAGTCTGTATCTGGGAACACAAGCATAGAGCTCTCCCCTTCCTGAAAGATAGAAGAAAGTATTAGGAGACTTAACTTGCAGTATTCCTTTTTTTTTTTCATTACTCCGAACCCACCTCCCGCCGTTACTGTTGCTTAGGTCAGAATGACGCATCTTGCTCCTGTAGGCTGCTGGGGATATCCCCATCACATATCCCAGGAGGCTGCGTGAGTAGGGACAAAAAGGAGGATGGACCTGACTGCAGCAAGAATCTAAGAGACACCTGTCTTCCGATGAGGTCCGAGAGGAGGATAGTGGTGCAGGAACCAGGCTGTGGCAATAGGTCGCAGCAGGACAATGCTGAATCCGCTGGCCAGGTGAGTGTTCTGAAGATAACCATGCAGGTAACAT